GGAAGCACAGAACCACATGAAAGCACGCCAGCCAGCCCCTTCAGCAGGAGCAAGTCTGCAAGGAAAATCTCCCCTTTTAAGGAGAGCGACCCGGAGGAAGATGCATTTCTCTCTCTCTCTCTCTCTCTCACACAGAGAGAAGCAGACACAAAGTCAACCCAGAATGGCGAGTGACACTCGTTATTTTCTGGTTCAGCCCTTTGTATCTCGGCACACAAACAGAATAATCAATGCCTCGGTTTGAAAAAAACATACATGTGCATGTAAATGTGCATTGTCAATTCCCACAGAAACGCAGACATAAGAAATGTGTTTTTATCATCTCATCCACATCGTCCATATGGACAGATGGTGGTGGGAGAAGTTGGTCGCTCACAGTAAAGCCAGCTTCCTTTGCTGGTGAAAATCATCCGAGTTGAACTCACTGAACGTTTATTTGGATGTTTTATTTGCCGATTTTATCCCTGTGTGTTAATAGCAAGTGTCCGTCTTATTCTACCTTTTCAACGGCAATGCATGAAGTCTAACTTCGCTATAACAGCCACTTGGCACCACGTTGAAGAAAGGTTTCTATGAGGTCGGATTCTGGTTGAGATGAGCTTCATTCACTGCGTGGTGGAGACAGAAGTTCACAATGAGGCTGACGAGTTCTCTCTGACCAGATGAGCTCCGGCCACGACTCCATACAGGTTCACAGGAAATAATCTAAAGGAGCGGGTTTGACTAAGCTTCACGGGGAGAACAACAGCCACACAGGAGGCAAAGTAAATGTTTTCAGTCTTTGCAGAACTCGAAAGATCAAACCAGGACAGATTTCCTCTCAAATTTTCAAATCATTTTAACTAAAGCACAAAAACCGACATCAGTGCCATCTATTTATTTCTGCTACTAATTTGTAAACATTTGTGTTCTGAGAAGGAACACAAGTATTTATAGAGAGAACTTGGTATATTCTGATGTCAAATCCTCTCAGGTTTGGAAAGACCTTCATTCTACCATCAATAAGCCGGGAGGCCTTCAGAAACATTTGCAGCCGGACAACACCGGGAATAGAAATGATGAATCAGACTGGAAAAGAGATCCTGACTTAGTCATTCATACTGTCTTTGATTCATCTACATACAGCGAATACGCCTCTTGGTGCAGCTTTTCTTTACGCCGTAATATTCTCGGACGTACAAACCTCTGAGAAACGTTGCAGACAGAACTGTGCCTACAAACCTCCTGCATTCATCAAGGTTAAGAGGGTGTCATCTTCAAATTCCCCCCCCCCGCCGTCGGGGTCGCTCTTTCATTACGGCAATCATTTTCCAGCCCCGCCTCTCGGCCCCACATCCCCGTCCCAGGCCTCCTTGGCCGTGTTCCTCATCAGCGTCTTCATCTGCTCCTCTCCTCCAGAGGAGAGAGGCCTGCGGGGCGGCATGCGTCCGGAGCAGTGGATGTGAAGTGACAGAAACTGCATTTATTTATAGGCTATATCTGAGTAGAGGAACGTGCTGCTCACGGCTGGAGCTATTTATAGAGCCTTTTACTGATGCCTCTGAGTAGCGTGGAGGACAGCTCTCTGGAGAAGGACTGACTAGGCTCCCTCATCTCGCCCCCAAACCCCCCCCCCCCCCTCCCTATTCAATGCACGTCCACTCTTTTACCCCCGACGTCCGCTCTCTGCTCATCGCCCCAACCTCTCGCATCAACTCTCGCCTTCTCAATTTCCATCCTGCTCGCTCTCTTGCTCCCTTTTTTTCCCCAAATCTTCCCAGCTGATCTCCTCATCCTTACCGCCTGTGTACCTCAGGTCGACATTCATCATATCTACTTCCCACAAACAATGTTTACCATCTCAACATCCTCTTATTTATCCCCCTGTCACTTTTTTACACTCTCATCATCTTTATCAAATAGAGAAAGAGCAGAAGCATCGGGCTCTCTTCTCTGGATTCCTCAACAGATGGTGCTCCTTCAGAAGAAGCATAAGCCAAGAATATTTTTTTAAAAGAATGTGATAAAGTGATCCCTGTGAATGAAGTAAATGAAGACATAATAGAGAACTATCAAACTGACAGTCTTATAAATGTTACAACCTGTGAACTGGGTGCATTATTCCACTCCTAATCCACACAAAATATCCTCCTCCTCGTCTGTTTTTTCTCTGCTTGACACCATCGACTCAGATCATTCATACCAGTCTGCTATTAGCGTTAGTCCCTATCCGAGTGAAAATGTGTTGTGCGCGTCCTTGAAGTGGCAGTAGAGAAGGAGTTTGGCATGTATGCCTGTGGAAGTGAGCATGGGGGGGAAAAAAGCAATCACACTCAGACACACCAGCAAACACTACAGCAGACAGTCCGGAGGCGACGATACCAAATGTTAACAAATATTCATATCAGATGGCAAATGATCACACGAAATGCATTATTTTTGGGGGGAAACCGCCAATCCTCGAGCGAAGTGATGTAAGAGGATGCTGAAGCTGATGTTAGCATGTGAGCCCTCTAGCTGTATGAAAACACACACATGCACGCACACTTGCCTCAACGTGACAGCATGCCATGATGCAGAGTGGCGTCTGCTCGTCAAGCTGACTGACTCGCACTGACAGCGTGGTCAGAGCGATGCAGACGCGGGAGAAAAACACGGATTTTGTGACGCTCCAAACCACAACAACAAGCAGCCTGCCAGGGACGAGCAGCGCGGCGCCTGCAAACCATCACGCCGGCTTTTTAGCCACCTGATGCTGTGTCACTTTGACGGCCCGGCCCCGCGGGGGGCTCCAGAACCTCCACCAACACTGTTGCATTTCGCAAACATCTTTGTGATCGTGTGCGCGTTCAAATTGCACATGTTTGAGTGTCGTGATGACATTATTATTGGACCTCTCCCCCACCCTCCGGAGAGCATGCACCTGCCACGGCCTATTCCATCTATGTGCGCAGGTTGTGAGTAATTAAGCACAAAATGCGTATCGGTACACAGAGCATGATGCCTTTTTTTAGCCATTAACGTATTTAACTAATTCACACCAATGGTGGAAAAAGTAGGCCCACCAATTTCAAGGTTTTAAAAAACATGTTTCTGTTCCGTTTCAAGTAAAAGTCATGCATTATAAATATAGGTGTTGGAGTGAATAAATCAAGAAAATTCTTTCGTCTCGGCCACGATGTTGTGCGACCTTCTTCATGTGCAGTTGAGACCAGCCGACCAGAGGAATATTAAATCACATTGGTCAGATGAAGGCACATTTTGGGAATAATTGTAATATAATGTATTTCAAAGGTGCGGTAGATCTTTGAATTGAGTGTACTGTGATAGCAGTTAATTCTAGGGATGACACAGAATACTTTTCATCCTGAAAGCTGTGAGGCGGCAATAATTGAAATGTGGTGACGAATCAGGATGTCAAAGTCATGACTTTCTGTTCACTTTATACCACAGAGGTGTCCTTGTTTGGAAGAGCAAATAGACTTATTTGCATGCTGTGAATTTCAGTTACTGCTAAATGTAACATCTTTCTTTATGAGTCTTTAAATGACTCAATTTATTCTTAAACCACCAAGAACTCTGTGCTCATTATTTCCCAGCATTAACATACATTTAATTTACTTTATTTTTGTTGTCATATTTGTAACATGAGATTTCAATTCCCTTGCAGTTGTGATGCAATGGTGGTCACACATAATTGCAGATTTGGCGATTCTGTGATTACTCCCGAATGTCCAGTTAAAAAAACTATACGGTTGATCGCAGCAAAAGGGGCCCGTACTGTGACAGGGCTGATGTGTGTGGACCTGCAGTGTTGAACCTCCGGCAGTCCCCATCACCTCAGTTGTCACCACGTCGGCCCGCCTTCGCCGCTCTATTACACCGCCAGCGAGCAGAGATGGATAGAAAGAAGCAGAGGGAAGGAGAAGGAAAGTGGCCTGTCTGGAGCTGCAATTGAAAGGTAGTGAAAGTGTAATGGTTGTGACCAAACGAAAGGAGGCAAAGGAGGCAGAAGCGAGGGGAGCAAAGAGTGAAAGCAAGGAGATGAAGACGACGGGAGAAGGGGTGGTTGGAAGAAAAGAGAGGCTCGCGACTGTGCAGCTGTGGGAGCGTATCAAACAATCACTGTGTCAGCAGCTCAACACACCGCGGAGGACTTGTAGCATAGCAGAGGTGCTCAGCCAACACAAAAACAAAACCAGCGCTGACGTCAAAATCCAGCTCGCCGTTTCATACCTAAATCTGTCAGTTCATAAATAGCCAGTTTGACTCAACAGTCTTTGCTCACGAAAAAAAATGACCACAAGACTAGAAAGCCCTTTCGACAAGCATCAAGTCACAGAGCGCCAATCCACGTGCCGCATGAAAGGAGTAACATGTGTGCATTGTGCAGAGTCGAGCATCAAAGCGGTTTCGGTCTCAAGAGAAGCTGATTCACGAGCTGGGCGGCACACGGATGCTGGGGGACGCCATCCTCTCAATGCAAATGCCAGCAATGACAACGCTGCCCCGACCGCGCACTGATGTAATGCGACGTAAACACCGCCACGCGCCACGGGCGTGCGCTTTCTATGCGAGGATTTTGTGTGAATATTTCTCAGATAAAAAGGATAAAAGAAGCATCTCCGTTGTGTGACGCGTTATCTTTGTATATCTGCGGGTGTGTTGTGCATGTCTAGTGCGTGCTGGAGGGGGCAGGGCGTCAAGGCAACGCAGGCCTCGAGACAAGAGGGTGGTTGCTGTGGAAACCCCAGGCTGAGAGCTCGGCAGCCGGACGATTGACTAAAAAGAAGGTGCAATAGATGGGGAGAAAGAGTGTGATGTAAAAACCCAAGGGCAAGGGGGAACCAAAAAAAAAAGAGAGAAGAAGAATTAAACGGAGCGGCGGGAGGAGGAGGGAGGGGGAAATTATATCTATGAGGGAGAGAAAGGACAAAGACGGACGGAAAGGCAGAGGAGGAGATCAAAAAAGGAACGAATGAAAGCCAAGGAAAGGAGAAAGGCGGGGGATGTGGACTCACAGGGAACGGTGCGGAGGTAGAGGTTGTCTCTGATGATCTGCTGGTGGTCGTGGTCCACTGAGCCCTTGGAGAAACACAGGTTGAGGTAGTGCCGCAAATCCTTGTCAACCACCCCACCTGAACGCAAACACAGAAGAGGAGGATTAGAGCCAGCCCGACTGTTCTGGGTTCATTATCCAAGTATCTTGATTTTTGCTATTTACGGTTCAATCGTGATGTAAGTAACTGTATTGGGGACAATTGGAAAGGCGCTTCATCCAGTGGAAGAACAAGCAGCCACCCCCCTCCCCCCCACCTCCAGTAGGCCAGTCATAACACTCATTCTGCACAACTACACTTGCTCAAACCCACTGAACCTAAGACAAAAATAAATATTTCCATTTTCTGACAAAATATTTCCTCTGTGCCAACATTGTATTGCTTCAACAAGGAGGTGGTACAAGGTGGTACAGAGTGCACAACTGTCAGACATGGAGGAAGGAGACGTTGAAGCAAAGGAGGAAAACTGTATGTTCTTGGGGGTGTTAAGGAGAAAAATAAGCTTTTGTGATTCCAAAGGAGGAAAAATGTCTTAATCAGAGTGAAAGATTGCACTGATTTTCACAGCCACGCAAAAAAAACAGAGGCTATACACAAGCTGATGCACACACACACACACACACCACACACACACACACACACACACACACACACACACACACACACACACACACACACACACACACACAGATCATGTTAATTGTGTAAATCAGTGATCCCCTTAGGGCCAAATATGTGGTGTCAGCATGTTGGGTGACAAAGGCCTACAGAGGACGGAAGCACACAGCCTGTATGCTTATTATTTGTGCACATGCAGTCTCCCTGTAACACAGTGGAATAAGTGACAGACAGAAGTGGCGGAGAGGACTAACATTGGGCCAAAATGTCTGTGCTGCAGAGACACACTGTGCGATAACGTCCCTGAATTGTTTCTCCTCCCTTCATCCCAAACTGAAGAAGCCCAGGAGGACGAGAGGAGGAGAACTTATTTTCCACACAACATTCGGTATGCATGACTATCACATCGGACAGCGGGAGGGATGAGGTTACACGACGTGCATTTACAGATGAAGAACATGTCACTCGTGCATATTCTAGCAACTTCCTGCCGAATTGAATTGACAGCGTTTGGCCTACCGGTTGAGATTATGCAGCGCCTACCGACATAGAGAACATGCAGCGTTCATGCAGCAGACCTCGCAGATATCAGCCCGCATGTTGCTGACACAAGTGATTTAGCAAGAATGGACCCTATTGGAAAAAACATCTTATGTAAACTGACACCATTTTAGCGAGGCTTCAGAGCATTATGAATTGCTTCACAAACAGCAGAGGCAGAGGAAGGGAAATAGGAAAGGAGACGAGAGGAGACAGCCAGAAAACAAAGGAAGACGGGGTGAAATCTTCATCAACATTGTAAAGACTGTCACAGCTCTCAAAATGGTAAAAATTGATAAATAAAAATAAATCCCATCACACAGCTATGCATTCAGACACAGGCCGTATCTTTGCCATGCACACACACACATGCACACAACCCCACACAGACAGACATATGTGCAGAGAAGGATGGAGCGACGGACAGACAGCGGGGAAGAAAAAAAGGCCGTGCAGACCAGGCACCTTGTCAGCAGCTGGCCCAGATGTTGACAAAGGCAGTCTTTTCTCCACAGGTATACATCCACAGACAGCCTGTCCTCCCAGGCGTCCTCTAGCCTTTCCTGCAACCACCGATCATCTTCTGCTGAAACCCCACTTTCCTCCTTCCTGCCTCTTGTTCTCCACTGCAGTTCCACCGTACACACTCAGCACCTGGCTGTGGCCAATTTCAATCCCGGGGAAGACGAGGAGGACGAAAGGAGGGGTGGGTGGGGTGGGGGAGGAGGGAGATGCCGAGAGACGAGGAGAGATGTAGAGAGAGACGACGACCGTCGGGAGAAAAGAGAGGAGAAGGAGACGTGCCGGTGGGAAGCCGGGGCTCCAAACGACCTGCCAGCCGATTGGACAGAGACATTCCACAGCCCTGCAGTGCCCCCTATCGGCTGCTGGCCTCACTGCGCTGAACGTTCGTGTATATGCAAGAGAATGTGTGCGTGAGTGTGAGACAGAGAGATTGAGTACCAGTACGAAGTAAATGTTTCCGTGAATAAAAACATTTGTACACGTGCATTTCTGAGAGTGCTCCCAGATGCTCCCTGACATTCCTCAAATAATCAGCTTCTCCCCCACCAGATGCTCTCCCTGTTTGACCTTGTGCAAACATATCTGAATGGAGAGAAATACTGTGAGACGTAACAGCGGCATATGTGCCACTGAGGCAGCACACACGCCAATACGTGCACGGAGGGATGAGCGATGAGCTCATAGCTACAAACGTCAGGGAAGAGGCCTTGGGGTTTGGTCTACATACAAGGAATAAAAATCAAAACGCCAACACAGCTGTGTGGAGGAGGATCCGTGTATTTAAAAGGGGGTTTTAAGGGAGAACTCCTCAATTAGGAAAATCTAGCAACCTGAAGAGTTAATCTTGAAGCAGTAAACACCAGAGTCAGCTTGTTTTGTGGTTACCTGCTTCAACAATGTCCCAAAATGTGATTTACGGGTGACAGCGGCGATCGATGACAAATTCCTCCACGCAGACGGCAATCTGTGAAGCTTCTGCCCCGTGAAGCAGTACATTAGTCCACGCAGGTCACCTCAACTGGCCATCAGTTGATCCCAAAAAAAAAAGGTTCCTGCACGGCACATTCAAGCTGTCGGCGCCACATTCCTCCCTGCAGCAGCTGCTAAGCATAAACCGCTTTTAGTGATTACTGGTGGAGCTGCTGCGACTCCCTCCACCACAGCAGCCTCCGCCTTATCAATCAACGCAGGCTGCAATGGACAGTGGGTCTCTACGGGCTGGTCTGTGGAATTTATTTGTTTAATATCTCAGAGTGTGTGTCTGCTCCGTTTCTGCTGGGTGAGTTGACAGTGTTAGAAAGCAGTGTAAACATTTGGGGGGTAAATGGGTCTGGCTGCATGCCGTTGACCATCAGGTAACATTGTGTGTTCAAACATGTAGAGCTTTTTATATAGAGTGATATCCGGGTGTGTTTTTTTGGCATTGATAATATCTACTGTTTGTTTGCTTTAGACTCAAACTATTTGCACATTCGCTGCCACTGCCGACGATGCTGGCTTATGTGTGTGTGTGTGTGTGTGTGTGTGTGTGTGTGTGTGTGTGTGTGTGTGTGTGTGTGTGTGTGTGTGTGTGTGGCGAGACACTTTGAGAAGGAGCTCACAGCATCTGCTGAAAAGGATCAAGCTGGAGATGAGCGACAAAGAATCATTTCTAAACTGCTGCAACAAACCGAGCAAAGTAAACTTTCACAAAGTGGATCGAGTCTCTCAACTACTTCTGACAGATAACAGAATCCAAACTGCACATGTTGGTAGATGTGACCACGGTCACTGTGATGTCACACTCTGCGTTGGGGACGACAGTTTTGATGCTTTCAGTCACAAAAGCACAAACAGCACAAAAGCATGTTCTCAAACAGCACAAAAGCATGTTCTCAATTAAAGAATGGACGTGGACTTGTAAACTAAAATAATTGAAATAGCTTAGTCACATACAAATGCCCCAGAACTGGAAGTAGCTGCCTGGTAGAAACCAAAAGGAGCTATTCTGTCTGATTTGGGAAGGCGTGATGCGGTCTGACGTGCCCGCTCTCCCAAGAGGCTGGGGGAGAAGAGGGGGGGCACGGCCACGCCACATTGATTATCTGCCTTCCTCTCTTAACAAAGTTTAACTGCTCAACTTGTCAGTGCACACGACCCCGAAGTTGCGCTTCATTAAAACACGCCGGCATGCTGGGCCTTTTCTGTCCATGCGCACAGAGAGCAACGTCTTTCACACTGCGAATGAAACCTCGCAATCAGAAGAGCGCGAAACCACTGCCAGACACTCCCGACACGTACCGCAAACCAACAGCAGATCTAACCCGAGCGACAAACACATAACATGCTACCACTTATAAATAATAAATTGTCTGTCTTGCCAGTTAAAAGCCAAGATTTCGAACTGATGGACGGGGGCGCGTGTGGAGAGCAGCGGCGGAGCGGCGTGCACCCGAGCGGTTGTCATGGAGAGGAAAACGGAGAGACAGCCTTGGTGATCGATAGCTCGCCAGCGCTCCCACAAGAGGCCACAACTGCAGGGGCCGGAGCAGCTTAGCATCACGGAGAACGGTTTCCGGCTGTCGAGTCAAATGGTCTGCTGAGAAAAAGATTTATTCATTTGAGGACTTTAGTAAAACATAAGTGCCGTGACACACCAGCCTAGCCGGGCCGTCGACATTCAGCATCGGACATTAGTGCACTTAATTCAAGCGAAACAACACGTGCGTTTGGCCGAGTTAACCTAAAATGTCAAAGTGACTGCAGGGCGGTTCGCCGGTGTTCCTGCACTCCATTCGACCAATGGAACGCTGTGTGGCAACGTACGGTAACGTTGGTTAACCTGATCAGAATAGTAACGTTACATAAACGTCACCTGGGAAATAGTAACATAAACTGCGCTACGTAACTTAATCACACCTCGTTGGCATCTTTGATTTGAGCAAAGCATACGTTACATTATCCTATTAACTAGATGTCATTTCTCTGACTGACTGTTCAAAATAACCCAGTGAGCATTTTTTGGTTGAAAAGACGTTTAAAAGACGTCTATGCTCGACGTTGAAAAGACGTTGCAAAATGGTTTAAAAGTGAAAGTTGTTTCAACGTCTATTCGTAGACGTTGAAAAGACGTCTATGTTTAGACCACATTTCAACGTGATTTTTTAATACGGTAATATTTCGTCTTCTCTTCTGTGCTATATCATTATTTTAGAGGTTTAAAAAGAAACTACGTCCACATTTGTAAGTTTACCACCGATATTATAAATCACGTTGAAAACGGGTCTATACGCGAACGTCTTTTCAACGTCTACGAATAGACGTTGAAACAACTTTCACTTTTGAACCAATTTGCAACCTCTTTTCAACGTCCGGCCATAGACGTCTTTTCAACGTCGGGCCATAGACGTCTTTTC